GGGGGGGGGGGGGGGGGGGGGGGGGGGGGGGGGGGGGGGGGGCTGGGCCGCAGGTGGAATTGACTGATGCATTACCTCAAGCACGCCAAGTTACTGAAGTAGGCTGAGACACAAAAGTAAGCCAAGACACTCAAGCACGCCAAAACACAGAAGCAAGCCAAGTACCTAAGTAAGCCAAGTACCTCGGTACACTAGGGGAAAGGCTGCACTCCAAGAATCTATATATCGGTACACTATAGGAATCATATATGAAGTACCTACCGACCGTTGTGTTGTGTTGGTACATTTTTGGGGCCTGGGACTAATATCGCTCGAGTTACACCATCGGTCGCAATATTTTCTCTTTGGCACTTCAATAGGCGATGTTTGTGGATATTTCAATATTGTGAAGGATCATTCGTGAGTCAAGGAACATGGATTACTCTACAGAAGAACAGCAAATGGAAGTTGAAGCTCTGAAATCAATCTACGGGAAACAGTTTACTACAGGAGGAGGAAGCGCGGATAATCAACCTGTCTTCTATGAAGTGAAAGTTGAGCAAGAAAACACCAAGATTAGCCTTATTTTTACAATCCCAGGTATTATTCTTCATTTTTGTTATCAGCCTCCTTAAACTGCATAATTCTTCATTTCATACTCAGCAATATTCAATAAATTTACTGAACGTCTTATCTCAAATTAATAATCTCAAAATCATGAAGTTTGAACCTCCCCAAATCCTTTCATTATCCCCGTCACTTTGAAACCCTAAGATTTCCTTGACCTTTCAAGCCTATAATTAAGTACGCTGGTGATTCATGATTTTTTTAGGGATGAACCACGGGGTGCAGGAAATCTTACCAACCCAAGTAAGGAAAAAATTATTGCAGAGGGAGAAATCCCCTCTTTTATTTTGAATTAACCCACACGTTTTTTACCCAAAAATTGCCTTTGGAAGCGAGTCAGGCTGTTTTCTGGTCATTGTTTGGCTTTTTAAAATGAGCAAAAACCGCCCAAAACACCTTTGATAAGTCCAGTACTCTGTGGTCTTCCTTTTTCAGATGCAAAATATCAGCTTCTCTCAAGTTCACGCATGTGCAGAAAGCAAAATTTTGAGGTAGTTTTAGGGGTTTAAAAGTGACAAGAGGCCAAAATTTCCCAAATCGCTGTTAAATTTGTTAGTTGAGCACTCTGTGGCCTTTTTTCCAGATGCAAAATATCAGCCTCCAAACATTTGGGCATGCGCAGAAGGCAAATTTTTAGGTTTAGCAGTGACACAGCAGTCTTGAAATGTACTTTTCACTTTCTCTCCTCTCGTCTTCTTTTGCTTTCCTCGCCTCCATTAAAACTGAGTTGGTCACAAGGAGTGGAAGGGAAATAGATCTGTTTCAAATGTTGCATTTTACATGTGCTAAACTTGATGCTAATGAAGAAAGTTAACAATGTTCTTACTCATTTGCAAATAAGATTTTGGAAAAATTCCTCAGTACTTACTCAAAACTTACATGCAAGGAATTTTGATCAGGATAAAAACAGTTTTAGGAAACAGATTTCGGTTCCATTGTTTTTCAAACATGGTAATGGTTCTGTATGAGAAACGATTGTTACTGTTAAATCCTAGGGCTTGCATGTAGTTGGGACTGAACCTGATATTTGATATTTGGTCAAGATTTGGATCAGAGAGGTGTAATGAGTGCATTTTTTTAGCTGACATAAACCATGTACAATATTTCGTGTTTGCTGTAGTCAATTTGTTGATATTCAATGTTTTATTATTGTGTATTATTCAAGAGAAATATCCAGAGGTACCTCCATCCATCAGCGTAACACAAGATGGTCAACCAGTTTACACAGAACTTGAGTCTCTTCTTTACAGCTGTGCGGAGGGACAGAAAGGGGAGGTTATGATTTACAATCTTGTAGAAGAAGCTACATCCTGGATACAGAAGCAAAAAGTCACTGAACTTAACCCTTCACAAGCAGAGGAAAGCCCATCAGAAAATGTAGAAAACACCTGCAAATTTTTCTTGGAAGGAAAATGTAGATTTGGAAGCAAGTGCCGTAACAAACATGAGGGGACAAGAAGTTCTAAGACTGAAAAAGTAGATGAATCACTGCACTCACAACTCACATGTGAAAACATGGCAAAATTATTAAAAACAACTGATAATGAAAAAAAGTCTCACATAGCATTAACATCAGCTGAAATGTCAGTGAACAGAGATATCCAGAAGGAGTCTTGCCCCTCTAAAAAGAAACCTCCAATGAAAACAGCCAGTGATGTCATATCAAGAATTATTTGGGATGATGAGCTGCAGCCAAAAGACTTCATGGTTGGTTACCTCGATCGTTTCACTGGAATCATGGAAAAAGGTTTTGGAGAGTTCTCATGGGAAGACCTTGCTTCAGTTGATCATTTTGTTGATCTTGCTATACCTCGACACAGAATCCAGTACTTTAAGTACCTTGGAGAAATAGTGTGGGACAAAAGGGAACGTATTGATAAAGTCTTTGGCTCTACAGGAAGCAAAGAGACTATTTTAGATGTGAAAGAGAGATTCAGAGGATCGACCACAAATGAAGATAATAGTAGTTTTAACGATGTGAAGGAGTTTTCTGAAGCAGATGAATCAAGTTACACTGTGCCTGTTCTCCCCAAACAACTTCATGAGGAAAAAGGTCCAAATTATTTCATTGCTGTACAGATTTCAGACTCTGAGGTAATCAACAGCATTACTAAGGTAGGTAAACAGATAGTCTGTTATTACTGTGCATTAGTTGCTAAATAATGATATTATTAAACCCCTTCCATCAGCTGGTAGGGTAGGTAATGGTTGCAGCTAGGGAATGTCTGAGGAATCCAGTAGGTAGGATTAACAGGGTGAAAACATTTTGCTGTGAATCTTACTTTACTTATGGCTGTCCAAATCTCCTGTGTCTTTTATTCATTGTTTTAATATACTTAACAAGTACCTAGAAATGTATTGCTCTGTTATTGCCTTAATTGCAGTTTTCCTGTTCTTTCTATAAACCCCAAAATGTGCCAGATTGCATCTCCAGGCCCTATTTTAAAAAAATTTTCAGGCAGAGCATACCCCCAGACCTCCCTAGGGGGTTGCACCCTTTCAGTGCTGGATTGTCTGATGCTACTTTTATTTGGCAGCTAGCTACTCAAAAATCTCTGGAGAACACTGTCTGTAAGACTTTAAGGTCCAAACATTTTTGTCTGTGGTGGAGTATTCTCTTAAAAATCTTTGAGTTTATCTACCACTTGATCTGTGTTTCAAAGCAAAGTATTCAAGATTTTTTTCAGCCCAGGTAAAATACATGTAATCTGGCAGTGGGCAGTTTTGCCATTTCTGGTGCAATAGTTGCCACCTACTCAACACTTATTTTTAGTAATACTAAACAAAAACCACACAATTAATGTGCACCTTTGCTAAATCTCTGGAGAACACTGTCTGTAAGACTTTAATGTCCAAACATTTTTGTCTGTGGTGGAGTATTCTCTTAAAAATCTTTGAGTTTATCTACCACTTGATCTGTGTTTCAAAGCAAAGTATTCAAGATTTTTTTCAGCCCAGGGAAAATACATGTAATCTGGCAGCGGGCAATTTTGCCATTTCTGGTGCAATAGTTGCCACCTACTCAACACTTATTTTTAGTAATACTAAACACAAACCACACAAATGTGCACCTTTGCCACCTTTTGTCTGTGGTTATCTTGCCTACTTTTGTAAAACATTTTGACTGCCTGGGCTGATTTGTTGAAATGGGGTTTTATATTTAAAATACACAAAAGCTTCCAAACATGGGCAATGAAATAATAGTAATAATTCAGTTAACAATATTAATAGTTTTGTTAATTTTATTAGTAGTATTTTTATCAAATATTATTATTATTATTAAATAAAAGAAGATCATTGCAGTCACTGAATCGTCCTCAGTCATCGTGCACTATCTCTTCTTCACTCCGTAGTTCCTTAAATATGATTTTCCTTTTCTTCATTAAATTATTATCAATAGTAAAGTTGAACCTCCATGTGTGACCACCTCTCACAGGTGCCTGTCTCCCATGAGCAACTGCCAATCCAAAACACCAAAATTTTCCCAGTTACAGCCTTACAGTTGGAACCTCTAGTAAACGACCACCTCTTGTAAGCAACCGCGACCACTTTTTGGGCCTGACAATTAACAATTTTCCATTGTTTTTAACCTCTTGTAAGCAACCACTTGATGCATTCTCTGATCTCTATTTTCGCTGGGTGCACTATGATACTTAGAATATACCAAGAAGTTTAGTGACAACATGGAACTACACATATCCTGACTTAGACATTGCATGCAATAAATTATCTCCCATAAAGCAGATGTACCTGGACCTCTTCTTGGAAGAAACACCCTGTATTTCGATTCTTGTAAACAACCACCTCCTGTAAGTGACCACTCACTCTTTGCATTCTTGGTGGTTGCTTACAGGAGGTTCGACTGTATCATTATTGAGGCCTGGATGGCACATCTCTACATACCAGTACCTAAGTCCCCAGCACAACCACCACTCCTGCTGTTTGGGCAGTCACAGTCACATCCGTCCTGGTCTAGTTATTCAATAGTAACTGTGATACCGTAAATCCTCTATTAAACCCCCAGGGGTCTTGTTTATCTCAAACACATTGGGGTTGGGGCGGGGGGGGGAGCTTTATAGAGACAGGGGCTTATTTTAGAAGGTTGGCTTATTTACTGTAATTTAGCGAGCATGGTAGTGTCAGATCTCTGTAAATAACTAAAAGCTCAAGTACAAGAAGTAGAAGGCCATGCAGCTGAGGATCAAAAACCAATCCATGTTTACACGATCTTTCATTTATTAGTGAAGAATAACAAGGGGGAGGGGAGGGGGGCTTTTTAGAGAGGGGGTGGCTTATTTGACAGAGGGATTTTAATAGAGGATTTAAGGTAGTTATGCAGTAGTACATGTGATAAAGTTAGCACAGTATCCAAGTGCAGGACAACTTGCTTCTGCAAAGCGTTTTCAGGGCCAGTGTGACATCAACTTTCCAGGGTTCGTACAGGGTCTTGAATTATTGAAAGAGTCTTGAAATTTGCCCGCCAATTTTCCAGACTTGAAAAAAGGCTGGATGAAGTCTGGAAAATGGTAAAAGGTCTTGAGATTTGTTTTTCAAAGCTGCAACAGGTGCTCCGTAAGTGAATTTTTCCATCGTTCTGGTCAAATCGTATTTAATCTCGCTCATACGTTTGTAGCGCGTCATGAAAAAAGCATTATTCCTGTGTTTTTTTAAGGTCTCTGTTGATCAACTATTTGATAACCTTGAGTCTTGAAAAAGAAATTATTGTTTTAGAAAAACGTCTGGAAAAAGTCTTGAATCTTGGATCCACAAAATAATCTGTACGAACCTTGCCCCCCTGGTAGCTTGTGTACAGACCCCCCCCCCCCAGGAAAAATCGGGGGCCGGGGGGGGGGGGGTCTGTACACAGGCTACTCGCTGAGCAGTTTTCTTCCCTAAAATAGTTGACTTCTCATAGTCTAAGAAAAACTGATTTTTTGGTGACAGATCCAAAATATGATCCAACCAGAAATAGCACCTGAAGGGCAGTACAAGTTAATTCCAAGCCAAAGACTGCATCTTACATTGCTAATGTTGACGTTGGATAGTGAAGATGATGTTACAACTGCCAAAAGTATCCTCAAGTCAGTACAGCCCGTACTGGTGTCCATTCTTCCCCTGAGCCACAAACTGCGATTTAATGGCCTTGGCCAGTTCAATGGTAGAGTTTTATATGCCAGTTTGGAGCCTGACGAAGGATTGTTCAAGCTTGTGCAATTCTTGAAGTTTAAGTTCAGCAGGGCTGGGATCGGTTTGGAAGGAAACAGAAGTGATTTTGTTCCACACGTGACAGTCATGAAAGGAACTTCAAATGATTTTCTGGTCAGTGATGAAATTCAGAAAAAGCTGTCAAATTTAGTGAAAGCCAACCATGAAATTGGAGAGCAAAGTGCGCATTCCCTCGTTCTCTTCTCGAGATTTCTTCCAAGGGATGTTGATGGTTCTTACCATAAAATATTAGCAGTAGAAAACTCCCTGAAGTCTCTCTCTTCTACCCTGCCCAAAAAACTTCTTCAGCGCTTAAACTATTTATTCGAAAGGGGCCAACTCTGTGATGATGAGAGAAACGAAATTCAAGAGCTCATTCAATCGGTAGGTGCCACAAATCTAGAAAGGGGATTTCGAAGATTAACCGAACTAAACAATCAGTCTGAGAATAAAATAGTTTTGATAATGAGAGGTATTCCGGGAAGTGGAAAAACACATCTTGTTGAGAACTCAGTGGAAGCTGTTGGAGATCGCCAAGGATTTGTCTGTTGCAGTGCCAGGCAGTTGTTCCACAAGGCTGGTGGTTCTCCCCTTGATGCTGCTGAACTAAATATAGCTGAGGCTTACTGTCGATCTTGTTTTATGGATGCCATGGTTACGGATCGTCATTTCGTTGTTGTGGATGGTGTCCATAGCAACTGTCAGCAGTATGCTGTGTTCAAGTACCTCGCAGCCGCTTTTGGTTTCACTTGTCACGTGCTTGAGATAAGGGTTACCAGCCCCGAGGATATCAAAACATGTCTCCAAAGTGCTGCTTCCGGAATACAAATGGAAGATCTTCTTGATGATGTGCAAGCCTGGGAGGATGATCCTGGTGCTGTTGTGATTGAGCCATGGTTTAAGAACTGTGATATTTCGAAACATAAGTCCATATCATTGAAACAATTGTTAAAAACGTCTTAAAAAGTGTCATGATTATTTACTAGGGAGCTTCAACAACGACGAAGGCGGCGTCAACGAGAACGTCAAAAACGAAATAGGTTCAGATAAACAAAGCAATAACTTTGCATCATGCTGTTTTGTACATTTTTTTTGCCGTCACTGCACAACGACGAAGTGAAAATGCCTATTTTCACGTTTTGTGGAGGACGTGAACACAATGACTTTCTTTTTCTTTTCCTGAACTTCGATACAGTCTCTTAGAATTCAACTCCAGAAAATGTTTCCAACATTTGACGAATTGAACGAGATGGAATAAGCGCGATAAAGTTTGAAGCAGCGCCAGTTCACTTTTTAAGTGACGTTTTTGAAGCTGTTGCCGTCCGTCGTTTTTGCTTAAGCTCTCTATTAACTAATAGCAGTGCCATGTGGCACAAGATTCCAATATGTGCTTAATATTTTATATATTTGTTGTGCCAAGAGTTTTATTTTGAATGACCTGAACACTGAAGGCACAAAAACTTACCTACCTCCGTCGATTTACTACCCGTACTTGGTCTTGGTACAATTAGATTAACAACAACCATTGCAGTAGGGCGGCAATCTAAGTCAGTTAATTTGTATACCCGATAATGTACCATAAGAAACCTAGCTTTTTCCCTTTCCATGTCTCTTGGTCTAATGTCCACACTTCCTTGATGACAATATTGGTGCGTGTACTCGCTTTAACTTTGTATTATCAACACTACCATTCTTCCTTCAACACTATCATCAATTAATTTCTAGCGATTGTACTTTAGGTTCCGGCAGTGATACCATTGACTTTCAGTTTTGAATCCCCCATAAAACACTCTGTTCGCCCCCACATTTTGCGTAAGTTGTTGTTTTCAAATGCCCAAGGAATATGCATTCCTTCCAGGAGCTTATGAAAACAATGGTTTTTGCAAAATTTGGGGGTATACAAGGTGTGCTATGGGGGATTCGAAAATAGAAGAATAGACCTTATTCACGATCGATACCCGTCATCTTTAAGGACTGACTGGATTAAAGAACTTTCGCGTGGTTTCTCAGGGGGCAAACAAGTGAAGAAATTTGCCAATGCAAGAAATCGCGATCGAGTTTGCTTATTCTAGACAACAGAAAATGAAGAAATTTTCATCTTAAAGACAATTATAGCAAATTATGGGTGGAGGTGATCATTGTTACTATTTGGATGCAGTAGCGACCGTAGTTGTTCTCACAACAAACGAAAAGAACGTAAATCTTTTCGAAATTCGAACCGTTCATTTTGAATGACTATTAAATCGTCGTCACGTTTTGATAGAATAAGCAAACTGGACTGCGATTACACCTATCGGTAAATTGTCTCTCTTGTTTGGTCCCTGAATTAACATGTGACATAGCGTTTAACCCATCGATCCTACAGCGCGTGGAAAGATGGCGCCGGGTATCGTCTATTAGCGAAAAATGATTTGTCATGGACGCGCTCCAGCTCGAACCTGCAGGGGACAAGATTGGAAAAACTTGCGATCAGTGCCTCACAGAAAATTACCGTAAAATTCCGAAAATAAGCCTCTCCATGTATAAGCCACTCAAACCTGTAACGTAAAAAACCCTCCGTTAAATCGCCCCTCCAAATATAAGCCCCTGGGGGGCTTGTAATTGGAAAATTGCCCTCAAATACAAAGTAAAACAAAGCAAAAACGGTAAATTTACTTCCAACTATAAGGCTAGCCCAATCGATTTTGAGACGCAAATTTCCCTCCGTAGATAAGCCCCTCCGAATATAAGCCCCTCAAAAAGGGCCTTTGAAAAATATAGGCTCCGGGGCTTATTTTCGGAATTTTACGGTAGTTTACAAAGTTTTAGCATGGTTAAACGAGATACCACGTTGGGAAGGGCGAGAGAGAGAGAAAACCATACTAAACATGTTTTCGTTATTGCTCCGATTATTAGGATTGCTTAAGGTTTTTTTTGTTCGTGATTAGTGCTTGTTATTTAAGAAGATGCCTGGCAAGCGCTTACCCATGGCAATCTTGTAATTACTTTATTTCCACCAAGCCAATAAGTCATGTATTATGTAACGCTGTCTTTTTAAATACTGTGAATAAAGAGAACATACTATTAATCCGGTCACTTTCGAAAGCTAACTATTTCTTAACATATTTGTATTTCGAGCCCGCGAGAAATTGGTAAATAAAGACATTTCATGTAATTTGCTTTTCGTTCTTTTTCTAAAAGAGTAGGTTCGGATGATTAGAGATGTTTTAACGTTAGCTCATATCCGAGGCAGATGGATATGAATTCAAAGTAATTACCATAACCTGAAGACGAATTAATAAAACATCTCTTACTTCGGAAAAGAATAGTTTCCAAGTACATGGCACCTGTACAATTATTAGTACAGACAGCTTCAATGACAAAATACGAATTGAAATGTCTATTCTTCGCATTGTGTTTTGTTTTATTCGTATGGAGTTGCCAAAATTGTAGCAGAGATCGAAACCGTGCTGTGTAGGTTTCACAGATGTTGAAGGGTAGCCGGAAAAAAGGATGGGACTTTTTTATTGAACATAATAAGAAAAATTAAAGAGCTAAATTAGAGAGAGCCTGAATCTGATGCTTGTTTAATAAACAATATTTTAACGTTATTTTAACCATGTACGTCTTCTTTGGAAAGATTATCTGCCTTTTATCTGGTGTATCAGAAAACGTTTCCAAGTAGAATTTGTGGCACTTTTCTCGTTAAAAAAATCAACTGGGTCTAAAGGGTTATTCCGCTGTTATTTGACGAACGTTGCATGGCTTTGGTAGTTATTTGCGGTGCTGAATATATAAATATAATTGCAGGGTGTTTCAAAACACATTTATTTAGCTTTTGTGTTGTATAATTCGCCCGTCGCACGCCCGAGATTATAATGGTGTGCCGATTGCTTTTCAAGCCGGAGACAGATGGCCGACAGGCATTTATTTTCACATCAAGATAAAGACAATCAAAGTGTGAGAGCTGCCTCTCATTCTTCAATCACTGACCATTACAATCCTTGGGTTGATGAAACAGAAGAAATAAGCAAGCGTTATAATTACCCCTGGGAAAGAGAGCCTACTACCATGCGTGCAACGAATTTTTCGAACCTTAATGGCAGTCAAACCCAAAACATAACCGCAAAGGACCCTTTGGCTCCGATCTCGAACGGCACAGAGTTCGCAGAAGGATTTGATCGACTTGCTATCATTCAACTCATGTGCTTTCCCATCATTTCGTTTGCAGGCCTGATAGGAAACGTGTTAATATGCTTTGCTGTTTTCAAAAGAAGGCGTCTTCGTATCACCGATGTTTTCATTCTTAACTTAGCTGCCACTGATTTGGGTACGTGCGTAGTCAGCGTACCTTTTGACTTTATTGAGATTCTAGCCAAGCAATGGCCATTTGGAACCGTCCTCTGCAAAACCGTGTACCCATTACAAACTATCCTAATGGCGGTGTCTGTTTATACCTTGCTCTTCATGAGCTGGGAGAGGCATCGCTCTGTGATGCCTCCGTTAAAACCAAAACTGAAGGCCAAGCGTGCGTTTGCAATCATTCTCATGCTGTGGATCGCGTGTGTTAGTCTGGTTGGACCTTTCATAGCCATCCTCAGGGTCGAGATTGAGGACGGAAAAGCAAAGTGCACGGAGAAGTGGCCGGGAGAATACCACCCCAAAGTGTTTACCCTTGCAGTTTTCATAGTGTTGTATGTGCTTCCGTTGTTCGTGATCACTGCGAGCTACATCAAGATCAGTCAGAAACTCTTAAGGGACATACAAAGAATGAGAAAGGCAATTGGCGGCGACAAAAAGGGCAACGTCAAAAAGCCATTGACTCAAGCGAGGGCCCACAGAAATATGAGGATTGTCAAGATTTTTGTGATTGTTGTGATCGTGTTTTCTCTGTGTATGCTCCCTAATCACGTTATGTGGATATGGCATGACTTTGGATCAGGACAATATTATCAGTACTTTGATACTATCATTGTTTTTTGCTATATTTTGGTGTACTCCAATTCCGCGATCAATCCTTTTATCTTCGTATTTCTTCACCGGCGTTATTGCAAAGACATTTTCCGTAATCCCTGTGACGGGTTTAAAGCACTCGTTTCATGCGTCAGGATTGCGGAACGAGAAGAAAATAGCGATAAAACCCGCAAACAGACCAAACCTTACCGGGAAAAAACGCGCCGCAAAAAGAAACGGGCACCAAATACAAAACAAGGTGGTTTTTCACCACATAAACATTACACGATGAGAAGAGAGTTCTGGAACAATTACTGGCGCCAGGAATTAATTCCAAAGTTCGAAGCGAGAAACTTCGACCGCGCGCTTTGTTCCGAAAATGCACCCAAAATGTTTCACCTTATTGAAGAACACGAAAAGGATATCGATCAGAAGAATGATGATCGTGTTAATGTTTTGCCGCAGGCCACGAGAAAAGTGAGAGTTAACTTTGGTGAAGTCGTTCACATCGCGGATGAACGGTTAATTTTGCAAGGTGAGAGAGAATCGGTTATGTGACATACAAAGGAAAGTAAAAGAGACTTGAAATTTAGCGATGTTTTTACTGGGATAAATACATCTCAAACTAAACAAGAGCGCCCTAGAAGAAGTGAATCGAAAAGACAAAATGTAAAATAATAATAATAAATGACATTTATTTACAAGATTTATCTTCAAATGTAAAGTAAATGCATGTTTAAGACATTAGTTTTATCTATGAATATATTTAAAATCAAATACTAGCGGGAGAAGTCTATATAAAACTCATTTGTTGCTCAGTGGCGGCAGGATTCTTTAGTTTTTCTTTGAAATTAAGATAATAAGAAACGTCTGTGTGAGCAAATAAATCATTCTTGAAAAGAAAACCGCAAGCCGCTCTTGCAGATTAAACCTTGTTTAGTTCAGTCATATTCGGCTTCTTTGAGCCATATTTTTGTACTCTACAATTTAAGATTGATTATTTTGCTTTTTTTCTGATTGGGGCTTTGTCAAAAAATTATCTGTCGTCCGTGGGGCGGTGGGGGCGGGGACGGAGACGGAGACGGGGGGGGGGAAATACTCCTTGATATAAATATAAGGGTCTGTGGGGTTCCAAAGCCACTATGGTTTCTCAGGTTTTTTGGTTTGAAATTGGGTTTAGATTATGACAGTTTTTGTCTAAAATAGGATGAGAAAAATCACATATTTTGGTGTGGAATTGAGGCAGGCTTTAAGAACGCGTGCTGTACTCCCCCATCCGAATTTTCCCGTAGGCGTATTCCCCGGAGGGAACGTTCAGAGTGTTTAAAAACTTATAAAGCCGCAGGAAAGAAAAAAAAAAACAACAAAACCTACTAACAATAAATGATTATTGTAACACAGAAAACATCATCGATAATTTTACCTGTTTCTCTTTTTCCAACCAAACTTGGCAAAATTTATTTCGATAGTTATAGGATTGAATTTTCACGGAACTTGATGCATGTTATCCAAAGATTTATTGCAGATGTTTCGAAAGTACAAGTTATGGCCTAAGTACCGAGGTTCTGATCTAAAGAGTCGTACCTCAGAATTTTTCGGTTTTTTATGTTTCCCTTTTGTGATACATATAGTGATGAAAGAACTAAGAAGCTTGTATTTTGATTGTAATAGTTTTTAGTTACTTTGATGCTCTTTGTTTACTTAGAAGACAATAAGTTACGTAATGGTGAAGACGGTATGGTTGAGCGAGATTTACAAGTGAGCGCTTTTGTCTATAACACGGCAGTGTTTTATTTTTCTGTCACCGTTTGGAGGTGGCCTTTAAAAGACAGATATAGTGTCAAAACGTGTTATGGAATAAAACTATTTGACGTGCCACACTGCAATTGGAGACAAAGTTTCTAGTAGCGTAGTACAGGAAATGTACGACATCTTTGCAGCTTTTAATAAAAGGAGAAAATTTTAATAGTACCTCATTTGTCACTTTTCTTTCATAATTCTTCAAATCGTTATGTATTCTTTAAACACGCAAAATGAATCGACATTAAATTTCATACTGTGTAGGAGGTATTATATAAATTATCCATCTCCCTGTGTTGTTCTTTATATTTTTTTTTCAAGCTGTTATAGGTAACACTGCTCGATGTTAGAGTCCAGAAAAAAATCTAGAGACATGTTATCTGTCAAGAAAAAAAGAACCTAAAATACTGAGTGCAAGGAGAAAGTCCAAGAACTTGCAATCAAAAGATGTAACCCGTTTTTTTTTTTCGCTTTAATGTTAACCCTCCCTGTCAATGCAAAACCTGCCAGAGGTTTTGGCTCTTAAAAGGAAAGAAGTTTAGCTTATAGAGCGTATAGTTGGTACTGTTTGTGTGAGCGATCTTTGAGCAAAATGTAAATAGTATGACACGCAAATCATTTACAAGACCCACTTATGGAAAACGATTTTATGGAAAGGTATAAAAGACATCCGGCTAAACCCATCTTAACCCACTGTTTAATAGATACTTTCTCTACGACGAAAATGAAAGCTTTAATTTTTCGTCGGCAAAACTGATTGTTTGGCTTATCAAACTATTTAGGACCATTTTATCAAAACAATAAAAGATCATAATGCAAAATTTAACGATAAATTTATTTTCACTGCACGAAGTCCCATAAGAACATCAAGGTGATGTGTTAAACTCACTTTTGATTCTGTGGTCGAAATCTTAAGATGCCACATTCAAATGAGAAATCTTGAGCATTACTTTGACATGATACTTGTTTATTTCTGGGTATTTTACAAACTTGGAAAATTTCGTGAATTTACCTTTGGCCACCAATGCATTGATTAAAGTTTAATAAGTGTTAACTTAACACAGCAAACAGCTGGCAGTAAAGCAGCGTAAAGCGTAATTACAAGCCCCTATTGCTTTTGGGCCCGCTTATTAAAACCTCCTTTAAGAAAAAACTCAAATAAATTATAACCCATTCTTAATTTAGGCGTAACATGGCTGTTGTCGAAAACAAAACACAAAAATAAAGAAACGGTTTAGCAAACTTTTAAATGTATTCTAATATATTTATAATCTGTGAATTGAATTCGGCACGGCAGTAGCGCGACGTTTAAAACCAAGTCGAGCTACTGCCTTGTAGCACGGCAAAGCTTGCCGTGCTACACGGCAGTAGCACGACAAATAATTCAAGTACAACAGAATTAAAAACCCCAACTGGCAGGAGGCAACCAGTTGGCTATTTACAAGCGTGGCCGAGGATTTGAACTCGGGACGACCAAGAACAAATCCAGCAAGTGGCCAGAGCGGAACACGAACCCGGGACCGCCGGACTGCGAGTCCAATGCGTTGATCACTTGGCCACGCTGCCTCTATTTTATCAAACGATTATTGTTACAAAAAAAAACATTTTTTCTTACATCAATTCAGGTGTCCATTTTTTTGTCAAGTTTTGCTGTCAAAAAGGGTCAAAAGGACGGGCCTGAAAAATAAAGAAAATAAGCACTCTAGAAAATTTCACCTAGCGGCGTTTATTTTCTATTGAAGCCTGATTTTTAGCGATGCGGAAAGCAGTCGGAGAGAAAGAATCTTCATTTCATTTACGAAAAAAAAGGGCTGAGACACAAGCATAAGGATCGAAATATCCCCTTTCTTGCGCCTACTTTCGTGCTGTTGTCAGTATTCAAGTGATTCAGGACTGTTTATGCTTACGTGCTCGGGTACTTTATTATTGCGTGGCCAGTGAAAAGTAGGCTTTATTTAACAATTATTCCACGTGTGCGCGTTGGATATATATGTGTTGGCTATAATTATCTCATATCCAACAAGCGCGAGTAGAATCATTGTTTTATTAAAAACGCCCACAAAATATCGAGAGTTCTTCCTGACTTTATTTGTAAAAACAACCGATTTTCAGCTTGTTTTTAATTTTGAGCAGACACGTACAGTTACCATATTTGGAGAACATGGTATAAATGCTCATATACCATATCATGGCTCTTGAGCATATACCATGATGGCTAAGCCAATCAGAGCTCTAGAATTGCATTATCCAATGATTCAGTTTTCAATAATGATAAATATCTTGGACCAAAAATGAATTCAAATAACAACACTGCTTTGTAAGGTTTTCAAGTTTCAATGACGAAAGTTCTTGTTCAAGGGTAAAGCATCATCGTAGTTCATCTGAAGACGGAAAATAAAACCATTCAGAAGGGGAAAGATAATAAAAAATAACATCTTGACAGTTGTGGGCCAGGCTTAACACAAATACAAAAATGTAATATTCCAAAAAAAGCGTTCATTTGGACAAGAAATATTTCAGATCTTTTTTGTATCAACTCAAAATTAAAACCACCTTTTCATGTTGTAGAAATCATGAGAAATGCCAGAAAAATTGGTGAAGAAAAAAAGTACGTTGATTTCATTGTGTTTTTTTTTTCCAGTCAAGTGCAGGAAAGTAAAATAGTTTACAGAGGTACTTTAGCTAGTTGCTTTCCGAGAGACTGAGAAGAAATTCGGTTTATTAACGCTACTGTTAAGTCTGGCTTTTGCTTTTAACTCAGTCGTATTGCTGGGTTAGGGATAATTTATGAGACATATAAGACCCATAAACTAAACGACTAATTGGTAATGGAAAAGTAGGTTACGGTAATCTGTCGAAACACGAAAGCTAAAGTAGGTTAAAAAAGGGGCCACTGAATGCCGCATTTCTTTTGCAAAGAGTGAGAAAACGACATGACAAATAAAATGTACTTATACTCATATTAGCAGCTTTTTATGTAGAGTTTTATTAATGAGCAAAGGACCTTAGATATACCCGGACCATCTTTGCAATATTCTTAAAGAATTGTCACGTGGTTTCTCAGGAAACAAACACTGGGTGATGAAGGCTGCTAAAACAGCTAATCGAGGTTGAGTTTGGTTATTGTAGACAACAAAAAATGAAAACCGACAGTAATGTTATAAAATACAAGATGACAAAATATGGGTAGAAGAGATCATTATGTCGTCTTGGTTTAATTCAAACAAAAAAGCTTTGATTTTTTCAAAGGTCAGCAGTAGTGACCTAAAACTCGACGAAACGCAATGCGTACATCTTGCGTTTCTCATGTTGAGTAAATAAACAGGCTATTACGATTGCTTGTGTTGACGACACCCAACTTCTCATGAATTAATCGAGCACACACCCAAAACAAGTAAAATTTCCAAATATATTACGCCGGATAAAAAGTTTGTTGTAACACTGCACGTATTGTTAGCTCCGTGTTTTGGATAAGTCTCTCATTGATTGCAGAGTCTAGTACCATTTTGTACTGAATAAAAATATCAGCGAGAATTATGATACTAAAGAAAACTTAATAAGGGGAATAAGTTTTACTTTTATAGTTTTCTGCCGCGCGAGAATGCTGAGGATATCGTATTCAGCTTAACTTGACAGTCTAAATAGCCCTTAACTAAACTTCCCTCTATCTCGTGGCTTTAAAGCTTTGGAACCGTAGTGTTTATAATACTTAGGAATAAGAGGAATCGACTGTTTGTAATTTCAAGTAAAGGTGAGGA